GGAATGTGGCAATACGTCCAACCGGCCTCACAACCGCAGACCACATGTAACCACGCCAGCCCAGGACCTCCACATCCGGCTTCTTCACCTGCGGGATGGTCTGAGACAGCTGATGAAACTGTGGGTTTGCACAAGCAAAGAATTTCTGCACAAACTGTCAGAAACCGTCTCAGGGAAGCTCATCTGCGTGTTCGTCATCCCCACCAGGGTCTTGACCGGACTGCAGTTCGGCGTCGTAACCAACTTCAGTGGGCAAATGCTCACCTTCGATGGCCACTGGCATGCTGGAGAAGTGTGCTCTTCATGGATGAATCCGTTTCAACTGTACCGGGTAGATGGCAGAAAGCATGTTGTGTGGGCGAGCGGTTTGCTGATATCATTGTGAGCAGAGTGCCACATGGTGGCGGTGGGGTTATGGTATGGGCATGTATAAGCTACGGACAACAAACACATTGTTTTTATCGATAGCAATTTGAATGCACAGAGATACCGTGACGAGATCCTGAGGCCCATTGTCGTGCCATTCATCCAGACACCAGCTCATGTTTTAGTATGATAGTGCATGGCTCCATGTCGCAAAGATCTGCACACAATTGTTCTTCCATGGCCTGCATACTCACCAGACATGTCACCCATTGAGCATGTTTGGGATGCTCTGGATCGACGTGTACGACATCGTGTTCCAGTTCACACCAATTTCCATCAGCTTCGCACAGTCATTGAAGAGGAGTGGGACAACATTCCACAGGCCACAATCAACAGCCTGATCAACTCTATGCGAAGGAGATGTGTCGCGCTGCATGAGGCAAATGGTGGTCACACCAGATACTGACTGGTTTTCTGATCCACGCCTCCCCCTACTTTTTTTTTTAAAGGTACAGTGGGGAGAACAAATATTTGATACACTGCCGATTTTGCAGGTTTTCCTACTTACAAAGCATGTAGAGGTCTGTAATTTTTATCATAGGTACACTTCAACTGTGAGAGACGAAATCTAAAACAAAAATCCAGAAAATCACATTGTATGATTTTTAAGTAATTAATTTGCCTCTTATTGCATGACATAAGTATTTGATACATCAGAAAAGCAGAACTTAATATTTGGTACAGAAACCTTTGTTTGCAATTACAGAGATCATACGTTTCCTGTAGGTCTTGACCAGGTTTGCACACACTGCAGCAGGGATTTTGGCCCACTCCTCCATACAGACCTTCTCCAGATCCTTCAGGTTTCGGGGCTGTCGCTGGGCAATACAGACTTTCAGCTCCCTCCAAAGATTTTCTATTGGGTTCAGGTCTGGAGACTGGCTAGGCCACTCCAGGACCTGGAGATGCTTCTTACGGAGCCACTCCTTAGTTGCCCTGGCTGTGTGTTTTGGGTCGTTGTCATGCTGGAAGACCCAGCCACGACCCATCTTCAATGCTCTTACTGAGGGAAGGAGGTTGTTGGCCAAGATCTCACGATACATGGCCCCATCCATCCTCCCCTCAATACGGTGCAGTCGTCCTGTCCCCTTTGCAGAAAAGCATTCCCAAAGAATGATGTTTCCACCTCCATGCTTCACAGTTGGGATGGTGTTCTTGGGGTTGTACTCATCCTTCTTCTTCCTCCAAACACGGCGAGTGGAGTTTAGACCAAAAAGCTCTATTTTTGTCTCATCAGACCACATGACCTTCTCCCATTCCTCCTCTGGATCATCCAGATGGTCATTGGCAAACTTCAGACGGGCCTGGACATGCGCTGGCTTGAGCAGGGGGACCTTGCGTGCGCTGCAGTATTTTAATCCATGACGGCGTAGTGTGTTACTAATGGTTTTCTTTGAGACTGTGGTCCCAGCACTCTTCAGGTCATTGACCAGGTCCTGCCGTGTAGTTCTGGGCTGATCCCTCACCTTCGTCATGATCATTGATGCCCCACGAGGTGAGATCTTGCATGAAGCCCCAGACCGAGGGTGATTGACCGTCATCTTGAACTTCTTCCATTTTCTAATAATTGCGCCAACAGTTGTTGCCTTCTCACCAAGCTGCTTGCCTATTGTCCTGTAGCCCATTCCAGCCTTGTGCAGGTCTACAATGTTATCCCTGATGTCCTTACACAGCTCTCTGGTCTTGGCCATTGTGGAGAGGTTGGAGTCTGTTTGATTGAGTGTGTGGACAGGTGTCTTTTATACAGGTAACGAGTTCAAACAGGTGCAGTTAATACAGGTAATGAGTGGAGAACAGGAGGGCTTCTTAAAGAAAAACTAACAGGTCTGTGAGAGACGGAATTCTTACTGGTTGGTAGGTGATCAAATACTTACAGTGAGGGAAAAAAAGTATTTGATCCCCTGCTGATTTTATATGTTTGCCCACTGACAAAGACATGATCATTCTATAATTTTAATGGTAGGTTTATTTGAACAGTGAGAGACAGAACAACAAAAAAATCCAGAAAAACACATGTCAAAAAATGTTATAAATTGATTTGCATTTTAATGAGGGAAATAAGTATTTGACCCCTCTGCAAAACATTACTTAGTACTTGGTGGCAAAACCCTTGTTGGCAATCACAGAGGTCAGATGTTTCTTGTAGTTGGCCACCAGGTTTGCACACATCTCAGGAGGGATTTTGTCCCACTCCTCTTTGCAGATCTTCTCCAAGTCATTAAGGTTTCGAGCCTGACGTTTGGCAACTCGAACCTTCAGCTCCCTCCACAGATTTTCTATGGGATTAAGGTCTGGAGACTGGCTAGGCCACTCCAGGACCTTAATGTGCTTCTTCTTGAGCCACTCTTTTGTTGCCTTGGCCGTGTGTTTTGGGTCATTGTCATGCTGGAATACCCATCCACAAACCATTTTCAATGCCCTGGCTGAGGGAAGGAGGTTCTCACCCAAGATTTGACGGTACATGGCCCCGTCCATCGTCCCTTTGATGCGGTGAAGTTGTCCTATCCCCTTAGCAGAAAAACACCCCCAAAGCATAATGTTTCCACCTCCATGTTTGACGGTGGGGATGGTGTTCTTGGGGTCATAGGCAGCATTCCTCCTCCTCCAAACACAGCAAGTTGAGTTGATGCCAAAAAATTTGGTCTCATCTGACCACAACACTTTCACCCAGTTTTCCTCTGAATCATTCAGATGTTCATTGGCAAACTTCAGACGGGCCTGTATATGTGCTTTCTTGAGCAGGGGGGCCTTGCGGGCGCTGCAGGATTTCAGTCCTTCATGGCGTAGTGTGTTACCAATTGTTTTCTTGGTGACCATGGTCCCAGCTGCCTTGAGATCATTGACAAGATCCTCCTGTGTAGTTCTGGGCTGATTCCTCACCGTTCTCATGATCATTGCAACTCCACGAGGTGAGATCTTTCAAGGAGCCCCAGACTGAGGGAGATTGACAGGTCTGTGTGTTTCTTCCATTTGCGAATAATCGCACCAACTGTTGTCACCTTCTCACCAAGCTGCTTGGCGATGGTCTTGTAGCCCATTCCAGCCTTGTGTAGGTCTACAATCTTGTCCCTGACATCCTTGGAGAGCTCTTTGGCCATGGTGGAGAGTTTGGAATCTGATTGATTGGGTTGCTTCTGTGGACAGGTGTCTTTTATACAGGTAACAAGCTGAGATTAGGAGCACTTCCTTTAAGAGTGTGCTCCTAATCTCAGCTCGTTACCTGTATAAATGACACCTTGGAGCCAGAAATCTTTCTGATTGAGAAGGTGTCAAATACTTATTTCCCTCATTAAAATGCAAATCAATTTATAACATTTTTGACATGCGTTTTCTGGATTTTTTTGTTGTTATTCTGTCTCTCACTGTTCAAATAGACCTACCATTAAAATTATAGACTGATCATTTCTTTGTCAGTGGGCAAACGTACAAAATCAGCAGGGGATCAAATACTTTTTTCCCCTCACTGCATGTCATGCAATAAAATGCAAATTAATTATTTAAAAATCATACAATGTGATTTTCTGGATTTTTGTTTTAGATTCCGTCTCTCACATTTGAAGTGTACCTATGATAAAAATTACAGACCTCTACATGCTTTGTAAGTAGTAAAACCTGCAAAATCGGCAGTGTATCAAATACTTGTTCTCCCCACTGTATCTGTGACCAACAGATGCATATCTGTATTCCCAGTCATGAAATCCATAGATTAGGGCCTAATGAATATTTCAATTGACTGATTTCCTTATATGAACTGTAATCTTTTCAATTGTTGCATGTTGCGTTTATATTTTTGTTCAGTGTATTTACAATCTGTAAAGAGCATTTCCCCTTGAGGGACAAACATGATCAACTCTCTAGAAGTAGAGAAAGCAGTTCTTAAACTCAAGTCAGTAAATTAAAATCCTCATTGTTAATTCCCTGAATGAAAAGGCATGGTGTGAGAGTATCAATGAGACACATTGCTGCATACAGACACCCTTCAGTTTAATTCAATACAAACAACTTCAGGGGATGACGAGTGAACAACCATCTCAGTCTCAAGAAATACATAAACAGTGAACAAAATAAATAATGAAAACGTCAAGTGAGTTACATTAATCATTTCAATTGTTCTATTCCAGACAATATTAAACTACTTCACATAGGCACCACAATACTTCTGTGTAAAAACAAGGTTAAGGAATACAGAACAGACCCTTCATTAATCCTCAATGAGCATTACATTAACATATTTCAATATTTTACTAAATTAAATAACAAATATATCTTAATGTGGTTTACTTACAGTAATACAACATAGAAGTTAACAATTTCAAACTGGGGATTAAATGTAAGTACTTCAAAACTATTACTGAATATTAAATTAGAGTATTTCAAATATATTACTGTGATGTACAATAGACAAATCAGGATCTCATGGAGAGGTTGAATCCATACCCTGGCCTTTAGCATGTAGGGAGAGAAAGAGTGAGGAAGAAAAAATGAAAGAGGGAACAAGACAAAACGGGACAGAGAGAATGACACATATAAAGAGCAAGCAGGCTCAGTCGAATACTCACCAACTGAAATTGAAGTCAGTGACAAATGTTTTTAAAACCATTGTTGATGCCTATTACATGCGGGTGTTTGTATGTCTGGGCCAGATCTACATGGGTGCGCCCCGGCTGGAAGGGATAGGCCCACAGGATGGTGTTCCAGGACGGACCAAACCTCTCTATACCTCCACACAGGTAACTCTCCTCCTCACGGCTGAAGTTCCTCCTCTCCCTCTGTGGATGGAAAGAAAGAAAGAAAGAAAGAAAGAAAGAAAGAAAGAACGAAAGAACGAAAGAAAGAGAGAGAGAGACAAGAGAGACAGACAAGAGAGAGGACATGAGACAAAACAATCTGCCATCATCCTCCTTTCCTTGGTTTTGTAACTGCTCTGCAATAGAGAGGGGACCATCACACACACAGACCTCTTGGGTAACATTCCCCTACTGAACTGAGAAGGAGACACCATCATACACACACACACTGGCATAGTTGTCTCTGTTGTCACATTGCCTGGTTACTTGAACACTAGCTGTTCTATACGGTCAGTCCATCCACTATAGATTAACCTCCATTCAATACACTTCTACAGAGACAGCGGTGGACACACACTCTCTCTCTCTCTCCCTCCTTACAGTCAGAGAGGGTTTTCCCATGAACAGAGTCTCCTGCTGATCATCAATGGCACCATGATCTGTTCTCCTGTCTGTGTGTGTCAACGAGAGAGAGAACATTAGTGTGTGTGTGTGTGTGTGTGTGTGTGTGTGTGTGAGTAAGAGAGAGAAAGAGTGAGAGAGTAAGCAAAGAACTGATGTGTCACGCCTCATTGTGAGCAGAGACCAACCGCTCTCAGAGCGTGTTGAGCTAAACACGGAGACAATCTAATAAAGAGAAAATACAATCTCTCCCTCCTTTCTATTCTTCATTGGAGTGACATTACGTCATCCGTCACGCCTAATACAGCTGCCTGCTACCAGAACAATAGAACACAGAAGAGAGATTCACTGGCCAGACAGGGAGAGAGAATAAAAGGAGAGATGGAGAGAGGGGCAGAGGGGGGGGTAGAAGGGACAGATCAAGCTGGTGGAAGAACAGAGAAAAGCAAGAGAGAAAGACATGAGAGGGCGACACGAGAGGGCGACAGACAGTCTGGATGGAGAAAGCGAAAGAAACGGAGGGACAGACGGAGAAAGAGAATGTAGTATTTCAGACAAAAAAGTGTGGAGGAGGAGGAAGCATGTGTTCAAAAAGAGAGGGCAAGAGTAAATCTGAATGAAGAGTGAAACAACACACACAGAAGACTAGAAGTGGACACTACTACACGACATTGGAGGGGGGGGAGAAGCTTAACAGCGCTATAACAGAGTTTAAACTAGCTAGCGTTGTACAGCTGTAGAGCTCAGTAACAGAGTGATGACTAGCTAGGAGCTAGTGTTGGACAACTAAGGCCGCCCTGGTCTGTGCTGTGCTGTGAGAACATTGGCAGTGGTTCAACATTCCTCTGTGCTGCCAGGAATACACTGGACACCAGGAATCCCACGAGAAACACACACACAACCACAAATACGCGCGCACACAGGCAAGCGTATACACACAGACATTCATGTCGCATATTGGTTATAACCTCATAGCAGCCCGTCACCACCGTCTAAACTTATACCATAACTCAACTATCTATAACTTATACCATAACTCAACTAATCCCATAACTCAACTCTCACTAACGCATCAACTTATCCCATAACTCAACTATCTCTAACGCATCAACTTATCCCATAACTCAATAATCTATAACTCATCTCCAGTCATCAACTTATGCCATAACTCAATAACTATCCAATCTCCAACACCCATTTCAAATGTAATTTAGCACAAATCTCAGCCTCTTTCTCAGTATCCTGAGCACAAGACTGACCCTAACCTCTGACCTCTTGCAGTGATCAATTGACATACCCCCAACCATACCAGTGTAATTGTTGCACAACACCATAATACATTATTATATAACCCAGACAGCTAGGAGGCAGTGCTGCATACATGATCAGAACAACCTCCAGAAGTAGCATTTAAACACACTTCCCTGCACTTCCATCCCAAAATAAATTGAAACTAAACATACAGTATCACATTTCAACAATAGCTTCATTTCCTTACCTTCAGAGGGCCGAGGCTTCTTAAAAGGAAGGGGACTAACGTCTGAGAGAGAGAGACAGAGACAGACACACACAGAGTAAGACAGAGGGAGTCAGATGATACATTAGAAACAATAAGGCTCTCATTATGAGCTGGGTTAAATTAAGGCTAAAGTGCTAAGAGTTGTAATGTGCTGTAATGTGTTGTTATGGTGTCTGAACATACTGTACCTCCGCTCTCCTGCCCCCTGCTGGTCACAGAGGAGAAGCTCCTCATCAGACCACCTCTACACACAGGAGTCAGGGTGATATCTCCACATGGACCACGCTTCTTTAGGGGGGTGAGACTCACATCTGACAGAGAAAGGAGGGGGGAGAGAGACAGAGAGGGAGGAGAAAAGAGGAGAAGGTGATAGAGACTAATATAATATGTTGTTTTCCAACCCCAAGACGGAGGATGGAATAGTTTTGGTGAGTTGGTGAATCTTACGGTTGTGGTCATTGTTGTGTTGTCCTTTGTGGGTTGAGTAGCTCTTCAGCAGGGGTCCTTTACGGATAGGAGTCAGACTGGCCTCTGTTACAACCTGACACACATCACGTCTCAGATCGTATCGGTGTGTGTGTGTGTTCTGCACTTCAGGATTCTTACCTCTGCTGTGATCCCAGATGCTCTGAGTCCCACCCTCTCTCGGTCCCAGAGTGTGTGAGTCTCGCTGCATCTCTCTCTGGTTAGTCGTGTTTGCGTATCTCCTCCTGCGTATTTCTCGGAAGCACTTTGTGTAGCTGTGTGTGGCCTGCTGCAGCACCATGTGCAGGTCACAGCTGTGAGGACAGGACCTCTGGAGGACAGGGAACGACCGGCTGGTCACCTCACTGAACCGCAACACACAGCCTAGGGAGATGGAAACAGCTGGATTAACCAACACACACACACACACACACACACACACACACACACGCATAATATACTGTATACACACACACACCTGAGCACCTATAGGTGGGTTTATTTGTGGTGGCTGGAGTCTCCAGTATCTTACTGATCTCACTGTCCAGCAGCTCAGAACACACAGACAGGGCATCTAAGAAAGGACGGAAGGGGGGTGGGGAGTGGGGAGGGGGGAGAGGCAAGAACTGTGTTACTGTTGGGATTTGGTAAGAGACTGTTCAACTTTTTTTCAGAGCTGTAGATAAAGCGATAAAGACAGTTTTGCATTGTCACTTTATCCCATTAACATTTTGTACCTTCATCGTCCAACAGTTTCTTCTGCCTGCTCAATCCTGGCTTGCCTGGAGCTGGGCACTTGAACACTTGGCTAAACCCCAAACCACGAGGGAGAGAAGAACCGGTATACACAGAATTCCACTTCATTTCTTACATAGAATTAACATGAAACACTTCACAAGAATCATGTTTCAGTAAATATAGCATTTGCATATTGTGCAGAGTACCGACCTGTGTGTGTGTGTCTGGGAGTGTCCCTCTAGCGGCCTGGAGGAAGAGGAGGAGGTGACAAATGTTCCCGTCCCCAGACATACATAACACCTCTCATCCTCTCCACCACTGGGCTGCCCCGGGACACCAGTCTGCCCTCTCCTCCCAGGGTGCTTGTCTCGGCGGTTCTCGGTCTGTGTGTTTACATGCGTGTGTGACGCTGTGGTTTTGTTGGTGTAGAGAGGATAAGTGTTTCTCTTAGCTGCCAAGCCCCTATCCCTTTCCTTTGCTCTGTGTGTGTTTCCTAGTGTGTGCACGTGCAGCGTGGTGTGTCTTTTCTCTTCTGCCTGTATGTTTCTGTATGCCTTAGTGTGTGTGTTTGCTGCCCTGTCGCTCTCCCTCTCTTGATGTGTGAGAGAGTGTGTGTGCGTCCTCTTCTCTCCCTCTCGCACTCTGCTGCTGTGGCCGGGTTTCTGCGGCTCCTCACTGGCTTGGAATATCTGTCTCCTTACATGCTCCTGGTCAAAACAACCACAACTTTTGACACTTAACTTACTCCATAACGCCAAGAGAGTCAGTGGGCTTAGAGACTAGTAGTGTGTGTGTGTGTGTGTGTGTGCGCAAAATAAATCAGCCCTGTCCAGAAACAGCATATCAGACGGCACGGTGGAGCTACCATATTGCTTTTATACCTATCCAATCCTTTCAGATTAACACGAAGTGCCTAGAGGGTAGGGGTAGGGGTCTGGACTGAACAATTGTGTGGTGAGTGGACTGGAGCTTTGTTAGACCCTCACCGTTAGGTCCTGCCCTCTGTTTGTGAGTTGTTTCTCCTCTCTGTCTCTCTGGTCTCGCTTCACTCTCTCTCCATCTCTACCCCTCCTCACTAAGACAGGCAGGACAGGGGTCTCTCTCTCGCCATCCATCGCCCTCTCCTCTCCTTTCTCTCCTCCTCTTCCATATCTTCTCTCTTGGCCACTCCTCTCTCCTCTTTCTCCTCTCCTCTCCTGGTATGGTAAAGAGGTGTGGTGAGGGGTTGGGGGTGGGGGGAGAGGTAGGGGTGAGAGTAGCTCCTTCCTCCCCAATCCTGCAGGGTTCTGTTGGTCTGAGGGGTTTGGTTTGTCCTCCTGCCACTCTTCCTCAGCTCCCTGGGCAACAACCCCAACACCACACACCTGTGAAATAGAAGGAAGATTTGTGTGTCTATATAAAAGCTTGGCGTTTGAAGAGTGTGGATGAGTGAGTGAGTGTATATGCCTGTGTGTGGAGGAGAAGACTGATGTTTGCAGTGCCTTTGTAAAGATTGCTGTGTGTGTGTTTAGTACACCTGAGCCTGTTGTCTCTCCAGCTGGTTGATCCTGTGCAGCATGTCTCGTGCTGACCTCCAGTACCCCTCCATGTCCACAGGGGGCTCCACCTCCCCAGTCTGACCCTGGGACTCCCCCTGGACCACACCACGCAGAGACACAGCTGGGAGGAGAGAAGGATGAGAGGAGAGACGGTGCTATGGACATCATCAAATGGCTAGACTCACTTCCACAGACTCACTGACCTTTGAAAACAGGCCTTTGTGTGTGTGTGTGTGTGTACTCACTAGCCTGTTTGCAGGTCTGCAGTATGAAGGTAGCAGCCTTCCTGAGCTCTTCGCTGGTAGACTCAGTCAGTAGAGTGATGATGAGGGACAGACCTCCACACTGTAACAACTGGGACTGGTGCTCCTCTATGGGGGTGGTGGGGGCATTCAAATACAGTAGTTGTTATTCCAGTTATTACTGTGCTGTTATCATTGATGTGATAAATTCATGTTTGCTTTGGCATTGTAAGATAGTGTTATCGTCATTATTTGTTTCCAATAAATCTGTGTTCGTTACCAGAGGCCTCAGTGCAGTGTCCCAGGGTGAGTATGGCAATTAGCCTGCCTTGGGGCTCCAGGTTGGGGCTGGACAGCAGGGAGATGAGCTGGGGAACCAAACCATAACCTGCTAGACCTGACGCCAACACAGCTACGCGCAGAGGAGAGAATGGACTGGTTACCTGAGGAGAGCTGGTTTACATGGCTGTACGAGTGTGAATGGGTGAGTGAGTTCTATACAAGTGCCTAGGCCTATGGCAGGGGTCGGCAACATGCAGCCCGCGGGCCAAAATCGGCCTGTGAGTGATTTTTTTTTTAGCCCCCCAAAGTTTCTAGTAAAAACAAATATATATATTTTTTTGTGTTTTGGGCAAAACAACGACTGTAAAATGACCAGGAATTCAGCAGAAAATGAGTAATTTAGGAAATCTGTTCCCAAGCACACCCACGAATAGAAAAAGAGACGTGATCGTGTCTCAATGTAATCAAGGTATGAAAATTGTTATTTCAAATACCATCTCCTTTTGGGTTTAGTTGTGGTTAATTTGCAGTATACAAATTCTTATAATTATGTTCCGGCCCCCCAACCATCTGCTCCGACAACAATCGGCCTGCCGATGAATCTAGTTGCCTTGGGGGTAGGGGAGAGGGGAGTGAGTCACTCACGGTTGTCAGTGATGCAGGCTGACAGGGTCTTGGTCATGATGACAGACAGCTGACAGGCCAATGGGCTGTGGGAGGCATGAGAGGCTAAGCGAATCAGAGTGAGGGTCAGAGTTTCGAGCCCGCTAACTGAGGAAAAACTCTCCTGAGCACAATCTGATAGAGAGAGAGAGGGTTCCAGAGGGAGAGATGGATAGTGAGAGACACAGAGAAAGGAGTGAAAGACAAGATGAGAGTTCAATAGATAAAACTGTTCTCTCCACTGTAGTATCTACAGACTAATGGCATTCATCCATCCTTCCTTCCTTCCTTCCTTCCTTGACACGAGCGAGAGAGAGAGAGAGAGAGAGACCTTCATTTGAACAGTTAGTGAAAGGTTGTCTAAACCAAAACACTCCAGGACACTGTAACTTCTACAGACTGAAGGTCACTACACTTATAAAACTAGTCGGATTACAATTACAAACCATCCATTGCAAGAGCAACCTAGGTATTCTGTGTGTGACAGACAACTTAAGAAAATCTGTGAAAAAGGCTAACAGACCATTTCAAATCACATGATATGGATACATATGTAAGTAACAGGCTCTAAACATTAGTGTCAGTGTATCATCCCTGTTTTACTCACGGTTGTTGGCGACCGTCATGGCTATGAAGGAGCAGATGGGCTGAACCATCTCTGTGCGGGGGTGAGAGAGCTGCTGCAGCCAGGCCTTGACCAGGGGGAAGGCTGACACACAGATACGCTGGCTCTCCTCTAGGGAAAGAAAGGGTTAAGACATGAAAGACGAAAAGCTTTTCTTCTTCCTTCGACCTCCCTTCTATTCTCTCTCTCTATAAACATTAAACTACTGCAAGATACACACATGCATGCGTAACCACAGTTGTTTATTTTATGTACAGCTGCATAGAACACTGTACAAGGACACAAACATACACACAGACACAGGTGTTACCATTCTGGGGGTTGTTGACACAGCCACAGAGAGCACTGGACACAGAGGTCCAGAGTTGGAACAGCTGAGTGATGTTAGCAGGTTTCACTGTGGCCTCGCCAGAGAGAGGGAAACTAGTCCTTGGGAGAGAGACATCAATAAACCTGAACTGGAATTGGTGTTGTCCTGTATAGTTTCAATACTACACTGCTCAAAAAAATAAAGGGAACACTTAAACAACACAATGTAACTCCAAGTCAATCACACTTCTGTGAAATCAAACTATCCACTTAGGAAGCAACACTGATTGACAATAAATTGCACATGCTGTTGTGCAAATGGAACAGACAACACGTGGAATTTATAGGCAATTAGCAAGACACCCCCAATAAAGGACTGGTTTTGCAGGGGGTGACCACAGACCACTTCTCAGTTCCTATGCTTCCTGGCTGATGTTTTGGTCACTTTTGAATGCTGGCGGTGCTTTCACTCTAGTGGTAGCATGAGACGGAGTCTACAACCCACACAAGTGGCTCAGGTAGTGCAGCTCATCCAGGATGGCACATCAATGCGAGCTGTGGCAAGAAGGTTTGCTGTGTCTGTCAGCGTAGTGTCCAGAGCATGGAGGCGCTACCAGGAGACAGGCCAGTACATCAGGAGACGTGGAGGAGGCCGTAGGAGGGCAACAACCCAGCAGCAGGACTGCTACCTCCGCCTTTGTGCAAGGAGGAGCCGGAGGAGCACTGCCAGAGCTCTGCAAAATGCCCTCCAGCAGGCCACAAATGTGCATGTGTCTGCTCAAATGGTCAGAAACAGACTCCATGAGGGTGGTATGAGGGCCCAACGTCCACAGGTGGGGGTTGTGCTTACAGCCCAACACCGTGCAGGACGTTTGGCATTTGCCAGAGAACACCAAGATTGGCAAATTCGCCACTGGCGCCCTGTGCTCTTCACAGATGAAAGCAGGTTCACACTGAGCACGTGACAGACGTGACAGAGTCTGGAGACGCCGTGGAGAACGTTCTGCTGCCTGCAACATCCTCCAGCATGACCGGTTTGGCGGTGGGTCAGTCATGGTGTGGGGTGGCATTTCTTTGGGGGGCCGCACAGCCCTCCATGTGCTCGCCAGAGGTAGCCTGACTGCCATTAGGTACTGAGATGAGATCCTCAGACCCCTTGTGAGACCATATGCTGGTGCGGTTGGCCCTGGGTTCCTCCTAATGCAAGACAATGCTAGACCTCATGTGGCTGGAGTGTGTCAGCAGTTCCTGCAAGAGGAAGGCATTGATGCTATGGACTGGCCCGCCCGTTCCCCAGACCTGAATCCAATTGAGCACATCTGGGACATCATGTCTCGCTCCATCCACCAACGCCACGTTGCACCACAGACTGTCCAGGAGTTGGCGGATGCTTTAGTCCAGGTCTGGGAGGAGATCCCTCAGGAGACCATCCGCCACCTCATCAGGAGCATGCCCAGGTGTTGTAGGGAGGTCATACAGGCACGTGGAGGCCACACACACTACTGAGCCTCATTTTGACTTGTTTTAAGGACATTACATCAAAGTTGGATCAGCCTGTAGTGTGGTTTTCCACTTTAATTTTGAGGGTGACTCCAAATCCAGACCTCCATGGGTTGATACATTTGATTTCCATTGATAATTTTTGTGTGATTTTGTTGTCAGCACATTCAACTATGTAAAGAAAAAAGTATTTAATAAGATTATTTCATTCATTCAGATCTAGGATGTGTTATTTTAGTGTTCCCTTTATTTTTTTGAGCAGTGTATTTTGTATCTACTGCTCACCTCTTGACCATCCAGGTCTTTTGTAAAAGTAAATTAGTTCTCAATTTGGAAACAGTTCTGCCTGAAAACCAGTGGTGCTTTTCAGTGTTTACCTGAACAAGTCCAGCAGGATGTCCAGACAGCCCGACGTCTGAGCAAAAATCTGTCCAGACCCTAAAGCAGCACACACACAATTAATCACATTTTATGTACAATATACAGGTGCAGCTCAATAAATTAGAATATTGTGGAAAAGTTAAGTAATTTCAATAATTCAATTGACGAAGTGAAACTCATATATATTGTGGATTAATTACACAAAAAGTGAAATAGTTCAAGCCTGTATTTGTTTTAATCTCGATGATTACGGCTTACAGCTCATGAAAACCACAAATTCAGTATCTTAGAAAATTTGAATATGACATAAGACCAGTGAAAAAATGAAATGTAATACAGACATGTCGGCCTTCTGAAAAGTATGTTCTTGTACATGCTGTCAGTTCTTGGTTGGGGCTCCTTTTGCATGAATCACTGCATCTATGCAGCGTGGCATGGAGTCGATCAGCCTGTGTGCTCGTCTGCATTGTTGGGTCTTGTCTCTCTCATCTTCCTCTTGACAATACCCCATAAATTCTCTATGGGGTTCAGATCAGGCGAGTTTGCTGGCCAATCAAGCACAGTAATCCCATGGTCATTGAACCAGGTATTGGTACCTTTGGCAGTGTGGGCAGGTGCCAAGTCCTGCTGGAAAATGAAATCAGCATCTCCATAAAGCTTGTCAGCAGAAGGAAGCATGAAGTGCTCTAACATTTCCTGGTAGATGGCGGAGTTGACTTTGGACTTGATGAAACACAGTGGACCAACACCAGAAGATGACATGGCTCCCCAAATCATCACTGACTGTAGAAACTTCACACTGCACTTCAAGCAACTTGGATTATGTGCCTCTCCACTATTCCTCCAGACTCTGGGACCTTGATTGCGAAATGAAATGCAAAATGTACTTTCATCTGAAAAGAGGACTTTGGACCACTGAGCGACAGACCAGTTATTTTTCTCCTTAGCCCAGGTAAGACGCTTCTGACATTGCCTCTGGTTCAGGAGTGGCTTGACACGAGGAATGCGACAGTTGTAGCCCATTTCCTGGATACGTCTGTGCGTGGTGGCTCTTGATGCACTGACTCCTGCCTCAGTCCACTTCTTGTGAAGCTCCCCCACATTTTTGAATGGCCTTTGCTTGACAATCCTCTCAAGGCTCTGGTTATCCCTGTTGCTTGTGCACCTTTTCTTACCACACTTCTTCCTTCCACTCGACTTTCCATGAATATGCTTGGATACAGCACTCTGTGAACAGCCAGCTTCTTTAGCAATGATCTTTTGAGGCTTTCCCTCCTTGTTGAGGGTGTTGATGACTGTCATCTGCACAACTGTCAAGTCAGCAGTCTTCCCCATGATTGTGAAGCCTACTGAACTGGACTGAGAGACCATTTAAAGGCTCAGGAAACCTTTGCAGGTGTTTTGAGTTAGTTAGCTGATTAGAGTGTGACACCTTGAGTCTACAATATTGAACTTTTTCACAATATTCTGAATTTGGGGTTTTCATGAGCTGTAAGCCGTAATCATTCAGATTAAAACAAATACAACCTTGAACTATTTCACTTTTGTGTAATTAATCCACGATATATGAGTTTCACTTTGTCAATTGAATTATTGAAATTACTTAACTTTTCCACAATATTCTAATTTATTGAGCTGCACCTGTATAGTGCTTTTCACATAAGCATCACAAAGTGCCTCACAATAACGTGGCTTAGACCCCAAAGATCAAGCAGCAGCACAGTGGCAAGGAAAAACTCCCTTGAAAGGGGGGGGGGTCCATCCTCCTCTGGCTGTACCAGCTAAAACAACTGCCTGTCATGACAATCATTCCCTGTCCAAATCAATTCTCAACCCCAGCAGGACCAAAGAAACTCAGTCAGTTTTTCCTGTCTGCGCTTACTGTTGTTGGCGACGAGGACAGAGATCAGGTAGACAGCTACTCTCCTCTGGGTCAGTGGACTGTCCTGCTGCATCAGACACTCTGTCAGATCACTGAATGTTTCCCTCCTACACAGGGCCTGCTTACAGCAGACTAAACACACAGCTTGTTTACAATACACGTACAGCGTCAGAGTCAGAGAGAACCTGCTTAAAGTACACTACCAGCACACACGCACACACACACACACCATTGGCCTCTGCCAGCGTTCCCAGTATGAAGAGAGCAGTCTCCCTGACCTCTGAGTGAGCACTGGATTTGGAGAGGTTGTACACAAACACCACCCCTCCCATCTCTCTGAAGAAGTCCACATTCTCCTCTGATAGAGAGAGAGCAAGAGAAAATCAGTGCCATTGCATAACTGTTAGATTTGTCAATTTGTCTATCTTTAGGGGATTTGCTGTGTGTGTGTGTGAGAGAGAGACCTCTCTGTTGACAGATAGAGTAGATGGTGAGAAGAGCTTGTTTCTGTGAATCAGGACATTTCATCTGGTACTTCAGACACTCCAGCAACAAACTCAGATCGGTCTTGGTGGCTGTAAAGTAAAAATAAACTCATGGAGATACAGACAAACCCAACAAATAAACAAAAACCGTCCAGTACTGTCGTGTAACTTATAGAAGTCCATCAAATATGAACAATACTCACCATTATGTTTGCTTATGCTGGAAACATCCATTTCCATCTTCAATAGATTGACGAGCTGCCAGGGTAGGAAATTGATATGCTTCATGAAATAAGGATGCTAGCTAGCAAGAACTGATGTTGTTACCAAATATACTCATCTGTGCAGTTACCGTAACAGCTAGCTAGCATGAAATCAGTCACAGATAGCAGGCGTTGTCACCCAGCTAACTCACCTCATGAGCGACCGCCCTGAAATCACTTATCTAACGTTAGCTAGCTAGCTACTTACCAATTCATCATTACACTTCATTAATTCAAATCAAACTATACACTTTTACATTGTCATTTGCTGGACAGTAAACATATTTTAAGGTGCTGTTGTGTTACTGGATGGTTGAAAAGACAGTGGATGGAGGATTATAAAAAATTGCCGCTACGATGCCATCGTTTCTGATTGGCTTGATTTGTAGGTGAAGACCGGACGAAGCCAGGTAGCTAATTAGCTAACAACGCCCGTGTTAAAACCTAGTCAATGGTTAAAAATGTGCTAAATACCACGCACAGAGACACAGATACGAAGGAAGTTTGAGACGCTGCACCGTTTCCTGCGAGAAGAATAGGCAGGATTACCGCGCGGAGGACATGAGTCGAGCAGTTAGGGAGAGAACCAACTAGGACGAGCAGAGAGTGAAGCCGGCATCTCTGTCAACTAAACTAGGAGCAGGGTCGTCCCTAGTTACCAGAGCCACAAAGTCATAATGTGAAACGCTAATTTACAAGCCCTTAACCAACAATGCATTTTTACGAAAAATAAGTGTTAAGTAAAAAATACAAAAATAATTAAAGAGCAGCAGTAGTGAGGCTGTATACAGGGGTTACCGGTACAGTCAATATGTGGAGGCGTTATGGCAGTCCGTAGGAGTAGGTAGCCAAATGGGTGAAAAATGATAGCATGTGGCAGTTCCAATGTAAAAGAGAAGGGCAGAATAGAATACTAGTATTTGTGACTGCCTTCAGCTGTGCTTGTGGCGAAGCGAGAGAGCACTGAACTTTTCGGATGGGTTATCCAAGAAAAGGATAAGAAAATTGAGAGCTAGGTAGCGATGCCAGAGTCCCCTGGTGTGAACCAGGAGTATGGTGGAAGTAATTTTAGACAAAGATTCGGTTGGAGAGCCTCGTAAATGGCGTCCCTTGAGAAAGTTCGGTTGTCCTGTAGGAGCTTATGTGCTGAATACATCACGGTGTTACAGGTGTCAAACTTATGGGCATGTGGCAGCAAGTGTGTAGGAGGGAGGTTCCAATGTGTGAGAAGTGTGCAGAAGGTCATGAGACAAAGGAATGTGTAGCATTGGGGAAAGTAGTGGTATGTGCTAATTGTAGGGGTGCCCATGGGGCTGGGGATCAGAAATGTCTCATGCGAGAGAGGCAGGTTGAGGTTTCCAGGGTAAGAGTAGAGCAGAAGTTGTCATGCTGAGGCAGTGAAGAAAGTAGAGGAAGATGGGTCAAGGGGGAGGAGTGGTGAGAGTAGTAGATCAGTACCAGTACAGAGGGATAGGCCAACAAGTGATATATGTTTCAGTAAGATTGGATTTTTAGCATTTATAGCAATGGTTATTAATTGTACTGCAGGGATGGAACCTAAGTCGAAGAACATTGAGGTTGTGGTGGCAGCTGCAGAGAGGTGTTTGGGTGTGTGAGACTTGACATCAGAAGAGTTACAGGGTGTGTTAAGTGGTGTTGTTCCATCCTTTCAGGTTGAGGTCATGATGCAGGAATAAATAGATTTAAATAGTGGAGTAGGGTGGTGTTAATTTAATTACTTTTTTTGAATGATAGGGTATTTCTTTATTTTATTGTAATTTTATTTTTCAAGCAAAATATAAGGGAGTTGTACTCCAGTCTAGAAGGTGGCGGTAATGCAACATATTGGATGCCAACCGCCGTTAAACCTCATCGAAGAAGAAGAAGTCAATGTGGGGGGGCACAGGTTAGTCGAGGTAATTGAGGTAATATGTACATGTAGGTAGAGTTAAAGTGACTGTGCATAGATAATAAACAGAGAGTGCCAGCAACGTAAAAGAGGAGTATATACATTTTTACGATAGCCAATGTTGACTTTGTGGCTGAGGTAACTAGTGGAAACCTAGGATCAGGGAGGTGGAAGTTGGATAATGATGCTGCTTTCCTGCAAAGCTTCAGGACCATGAAGGAGAGAGCCGGGGAGAAACTATTAGGACACCGCTGACGCTTAAACCGACTAGCTAAAACCTACCTACCTTAACCTTAACCAAATCCTTAACTCTGACCCTAACCCTAGCCTCGTTGCGAACCAGGCGTGACAACATTGTGATTTTGGAGGTATGGCAACGCGAGACTACCCAAACCCTAACCTAATTTTTATAAATTCTGAAATGAAATATCGATTTGGGCGTCAGGTGTGTGTCCTTATAGCCTTTTCCAGAGAGCCGATGTTCTTCCTCAGGACCCCCAGCTGCTCTCAGGTGCGCGGTTTGGAGACCGGGGCAAAATTAGTTTTATATTGGATATTCGGTTCTCTCGCCATAGCTATTGTATTGAACCAAGCATGCCATGACTATGAAAATGATATATGCTGAATCAGGTGAGGATGGGAGATGCTTCCAGCTGCAGCCCTGCAGCAGCCTGTGGCTAAAACTAGCCTATCACTAAAACTAGCCTGCAGGCCGGTCCAGGCCGTTCTGCTGCTCTAGAGGAGACCAAAAAATTGCTGCCCCTGCAAAACTAGAATAGTCCCAGTAAGCAAAATGACATTGAAAATATGTCTAAAATATGTATTTTCCAGACATTTAAGTTTGGTTCAATTTAGGTTTTGAATGAAAGGTGAAAATACGTATTTTCAGGGTGTTTAAAATACATACATTTCTGACGTTGAAAAGGCGTTTTTGGCTTGAATTTGGCTTGACTTCTATCACATCGCTTCAAGAGAAATACATAATTGACAGAAACCTCCTCCAGTGGCTAGCTAGCTAGCTAAAATTGTCCCTTTCCTAAATTAGCCATAGATGGAGATAGGGATTTGGACTTGTGGTTTTACTTAATTCTCCGTACTGGCCAATGATTATAACCACAATTCTGATCCAACCGTGAATTCATACACATTGTGCCCCAGGACTGAGAGGATGAAAGTTCAATATGTAGCTACAGTTGAAGTCGGAAGTTTACATACACCTTAGCCAAATACATTTAAACTCAGTTTTTCACAATTCCTGACATTTAATCCTAGTAAAAATTACCTGTTTTAGGTCAGTTAGGATCACCACTTTATTTTAAGAATGTGAAAAGTCAGAATAATAGTAGAGAGTGATTTATTTCAGCTTTTATTTATTTCATCACATTCCCAGTGGGTCAGAAGTTTACATACACTCAATTAGTATTTGGTAGCATTGCCTTTAAATTGTTTAACTTGGGTCAAATGTTTCGGGTAGCCTTCCACAAGCTTCCCACAATAAGTTGGGTGAATTTTGGCCCATTCCTCCTGACAGAGCTGGTGTAACTGAGTCAGGTTTGTAGGCCTCCTTGCTCGCACACGCTTTTTCAGTTCTGCCCACAAATGTTCTATAGGACTGAGGTCAGGGCTTTGTGATGGCCACTCCAATACCTTGACTTTGTTGTCCTTAAGCCATTTTGCCACAACTTTGGAAGTATGCTTGGGGTCATTGTCCATTTGGAAGACCCATTTGCGACCAAGCTTTAACTTCCTGACTGATGTCTTGAGATGTTGCTTCAATATATCCACATAATCTTCCTTCCTCATGATGCCATCTAATTTGTGAAGTGCACCAGACCCTCCTGCAGCAAAGCACACCCACAGCATGATGCTGCCACCCCCGTGCTTCACGGTTGGGATGGTGTTCTTCGGCTTGCAAGCATTCCCCCTTTTCCTCCAAACATAACGATGGTCATAATGGCCAAACAGTTCTATTTTTGTTTCATCAGACCAGAGGACATTTCTCCAAAAAGTACGATCTTTGTCCCCATGTGCAGTTGAGACACAAGCCTACCAGACGAGCTAAACCACTTCTATGCTCGCTTCGAGGCAAGCAACACTGAAGCATGCATGAGAGCACCAGCTGTTCCGGATGACTATGTGATCACTCTCTCCGTAGCCGATGTGAGTAAGACTTTTAAGCAGGTCAACATTCACAAGGCCGCAGGGCCAGACAGATTACCAGGACGTGTACTCCGAGCATGTGCTGACCAACTGGCAAGTGTCTTCACTGACATTTTCAACATGTCCCTGACTGAGTCTGTAATACCAACATGTTTCAAGCAGACCACCATAGTCCCTGTGCCCAAGGACTCTAAGATAACCTGCCTAAATGACTACCGACCCGTAGCACTGACGTCTGTAGCCATGAAGTGCTTTGAAAGGCTGGTCATGGCTCACATCAACAGCATTATCCCAGAAACCCTAGACCCACTCCAATTTGCATACCGCCCCAACAGATCCACAGATGATGCAATCTCTATTGCACTCCACACTGCCCTTTCCCACCTGGACAAGAGGAACACCTACGTGAGAATGCTATTCATTGACTACAGCTCAGCATTCAACACCATAGTGCCCTCTAAGCTCATCACTAAGCTAAGGATCCTGGGACTAAACACCTCCCTCTGCAACTGGATCCTGGACTTCCTGACGGGCCGCCCCCAGGTGGTAAGGGTAGGTAACAACACATCTGCCACACTGATCCTCAACACGGGGGCCCCTCAGGGGTGCGTGCTCAGTCCCCTCCTGTACTCTCTGTTCACCCATGACTGCATGGCCAGGCACGACTCCAACACCATCATTAAGTTTGCTGACGACACAACAGTGGTAGGCCTGATCACCGACAACGATGAGACAGCCTATAGGGAGGAGGTCAGAGACCTGGCCGTGTGGTGCCAGGACAACAACCTCTCCCTCAACGTGACCAAGACAAAGGAGATGATTGTGGACTACAGGAAAAAAAAGAGGACTGAGCACGCCCCCATTCTCATCAACGGGGCTGTAGTGGAACAGGTTGAGAGCTTCAAGTT